GAATATCTAATTAATGTGACTAATCTCTAACATGTATGAGGAAATTGAGTCTAAACTCTTCATTATTGATGAATATATTTGTAAATAATGTTTATTGTTTGTTTTCTTATATAGTGCAGATAATCATGGTAAATATTTATAAAATACTACCTTGGTTGTCTCGTTTATATACTCGTCATAAAAAACTACAAAGGCATGCCTGTTATTTTTCCATTCATTGCTATTTCAATTTGTTTTCTTTCTATCGAGTTTTACTGCCATTGGAAAACACAAGTGATTCTTTAAAGAGTGCCATGACAAAAGGGAGCATGCAAGTCTATTACAGTCCACATGACGAGTTTTTTATAGCATGATTAGATTTAATATTGCAACACGTCAAACAATGTATCGACCTCCATCTGCATTGCAACCTGACCTTCTTCAAATATGGACATTGTAAATTGTATATGCTCGTCATTTCTCCTTGCTATGCAAAGGAGCCTCTCAATCAGAACAATGAATACGAGACAAACATCATCACGTGCAACCAGATTTCCCGCTCTCTTTAACCCACCCCCAACACATCAAAGTTATTATTCAATTATTTGTCTGTTTTGCTATTAGCATGAAAATCTGGGATGAACCGGAAGTCGGGTTACGATGCCCAACTGTGCGCTAATCTAGCTAGATCCCACAAAGGGTGTTGATCGATTGAGATAGCAGGACGGTGGTCATGGAAGTCGAAATCAAAATCACCTGCCGAATTAACTAGCCCGCAAATGGCTGGCGCTTGAGCGCATGACCTATACCCAGCCATCAGGGGCGCGTGGTCGCTGCAAAACCTTTGGCGTGAGCCTGAGCAGAACGGCCGTTGGTGTAGATCTTGGTGGTACAAAAAAATGTTTGTTTTGCATAAACTTTTTTCGTGTTAGCATTTGTCCCCCATTGATAGCCTTACCATGGGGTTTTGCGTGATGTCAATTAAAGATGTGTCCAGCCCATTATGTAACATATATGATTAAACTCTTGTTTTTATTGCTTCTTATGATAATTATATTTGCCCTATCTTCACTGTCTGTTTTTCCTTTGGGCATAAATTCTCGCGTAGTGCACACTCCAATGTGTGTGTATAAGTGCTCTGGATAATTTTTTACACCTCTCAGTATATGCCCAATTATATAAAAAGATAATGTGCAAAAGATACACTTATCAAATTCAAAACTCATATTTAGAAAGATCTAGTTATACTCAAATTCAAAACACAAACATTAGTGGATGTAATTTATTAATGCCCATTAATATATTTAATTTTATTTTGATATAATGTTTCATTACTATATTAATAAAATACCTTTTTATTATTTTTACAACTTCAAACCCATTAACTTCGTCAAATTTTGTAGATGTAGATATTTGTACTTAAATTGTTTCCAGTTTCAGATTAGACCTGACTAGAATTAAATAAACCAGATCAGAGCCGACTAAAAAAGTATATCAGACTAGACTTGCATAGTCAAAAAATACACAAAGAGTAGACATTCACCAGACCAGACCAACAAATTTCAATCCAAATGAAAATATCTGTAGTTAGTTATAGTATTAAATTCTCCTCAGTTCTGATGGGGTTAATGCGACAAATCCCCTCGTGAGATATAAATTCAACGCATTGCGCTATTGTGGTTTAAAAATGCATTCACCCCCTTGTTATAGTTATTCATGTGCAAAACCCCTTTCATGAACAAATTTAGTTGATAAATGAATGAAAAATAATTGGTATTCTTATATAATTTAGAAATCTTGATAAAGTTATTTGCATATTTAATCACATTATTAAGAAAAGTGATCTCGAAATTGTAAAATCTGCTCTCATAAGTGATTTTGCTCATGAATAATTGTAATATAAGGGGTTTGACACATTTGTTTAAACACAAAGGATAACATGTCGAATTTATATATTTAGACCATTTGGAGTGATGTGGAGGCAAAAATGTCAAAAATGGACTCCGTCCATATGAAAACAGTGTTCTGACTCTTATATTTTTTACATATCAATTTAGAAAAATATTAATTAAATCATTCTAGGTACTTTTTTCTTTTAATGTTTTTCCTAAATAATTATGGAATTAAAAAATACATATTTTCGATGTAAAAACAAATTAATTTCATTAATTTTTTGAACAATTTTTTGTTAACAAAATATAAACTTAGTTCAAGTAAAGTTCGATTGTGTAATCTTAAGTTATTTGTAGATGATCCATGAATTAAAAATTTGTGTTTCGTGTTATTTTGGGTTCAAGAAAACTCGAACAGTTAAAACTAGTTATTTTTTTCATTTTATACAGAGTTTTTCCACTTTTAGTCCTCTGACTATTATGTCATTGACACTTTTGGTACTCGACTTTGATTTTTCCATTTTTAGTCCTTGACGATTGCGCTAGAGACACTTTTGGTATCCGTCTTTGAAAATTCCATATTTAGTCCTTCAACTTTCCTAAAAGTGACACTTTTGATCCTTCAACTATTATAATAGTGACATTTTAGTCCTCCACTTATTGTGTCAAAATCATAATGAGAGGACTAAAAGTGTCGATTTGACAATACTTAGAGACCAAATGTGGGAAATCTTGAAGTCGGAGACTAAAAGTGTCTCTAGCACTAAAGTCGACGACTATAAATGGAAAAATTATAAGTCGAGTACCAAAAGTGTCATTGACATAATAGTCGGGGGACCAAAAATGAAAAAAACTCTTTTATATATTACATATTGGTGACATGTGAAAAATAATAAAAATTCATGAATAAAAATAAAAAAGTTATAAAAGTTTTAAAAAAGATTATGGTTTTATGACGTCACCATGATGTCACCCAGGCCTAAATAACTCTGTGCATAGCTGGTCAACCCGTCGCCTTTTCCCCTTGCGCATAGCGCATCACCCGGCCCCACTCTCCCTTTTCTTTTCTTTTCCATTTTCTTTCACACTATCACCTCCATATTTACCCCTTCCCCCTTTTCCATTTTTACTACCCATTTTAGCTTACTAGTGCATGAAATTAGGAGTCCAAAAATTTCATTTTTGATATTTTGTACTCCCAATAGTACATCATTCCAAATGGTTTAAGGGGTAATGTGTTAAACCCCAATTCCCACCCTCCAAGACTCCAAGTTACTGTCTTTTGTATTTTCTTGTGAGGAAAGTGTCAGTTTAGTACATTAAATTGTAAGCGGGAGAGTAAATAGTACATTATTTTGCAAGTGTGATTGAGAGGTACATGAAATCACCAAATCAGTGCTAATTGAGTCCATCTGTGTAGGGCTGGGTTCGGTTCGGGACCCGAACCGATTTAGTATAAACCCGAACCGATATTTCAGTTTACTAAATTACAAAAACCGAAACCGAACCGTATTAAGAACGGGTACCGATTTTTGGGGCCCGAATTATTCGGTTCGGTTTACCGGGAACCGAAAAACCGACTCAATTTTAAAAAATAAATTTGAACTAATATTCAGTAGACTAAAGCTCATTGGAACTTTCCAATATTTGAGCCCCATTAGCCCAATTGGAAGCCTAGAACGTATCTTAGCAGCCTACAATAAGGGAACCTGGTTTATATTGAAGTTTTTGGAGTAGTAAGCTGCTCATTTTCCGGTGTGGGACAGAATAGAAGAAGAAAGAAGCCAAATTCTAAAAATACAAAACATTACACACCATACGGGAATCGATCCCTCGACCATTTGCTGGGGATAGGAGCACAATGACTAACTCCGCTACTCGTCATCTTTGTTCAAATAGAAATTAGTTCAAATAGGACTAAAACTATGGCAAAAACCTAAAATAGGACTTGCTATGTTTTTATTCCAAAACAGGACCATATAAATCCTATTGGAAACATACCTATTTTTGCATTCCATTCTTATCCTTCCATTAAATATGAATTAAAAATAGTCAAAAGCCATAATTAAATGTTTAATTCATAATAAATTCGAAAAAAATTCAAAAATTCGTAGAAATATTATTAAAAAAATTATAAAATTTTTATAAAATAAAAAATTCAAAAACTTTTTTTTTAAAATAATTTTATTTTTAAAAAAATTAATAAAAAATATTAAAACTCCGTAAAAAAAATTAAAAAAATATGGATGCCTTTCCCACCGCCTGTACTACCTCCCAGCACCATCACCTCCGGCCAATGAAAAAAATGCCATTTTCCCAGAAAAATGCCATTTTTTTCTGAAAATGCCAAAAAAGTGGCATATTTCTCTTTTCGAATGCCAACATTTTCATTTTTTCTGCCATACATATGGCATTCGTAATGAACTTGGCATTTTTTTCCCCGGTGACTGGAGGTGGTGGTGCTGAGGCGGCGGCGATTTTTTTTTAGTTTTTATTTTTTTTATTTTTTTTTTATTTTTTTTTAATTATTTGAAATAAATAAATAAATTATATTTTTAATATCGAAATGTTTTTCTTAATTTTTTAGTATTTTTTATTATTTTTTATTATTTTATTAGGAATTAAAACATTTTAATAGCTATAAGGGTGTAATTGTCCAAGGTACACATAATTAGTCCTATGCAAACATAGTTTATTTTTTTATCCTATTTGTGAAAAGTGAATGACTTTTAGTCCTATTTTGATAATTAACTCTTGTTCAAACCATACTCGGGTTTATATTATTACTATATTTTTCGTCATTAATTATTATTATTATTATTATAAATAACAATTATTATTATTAATATAAAAATGTCGGTTCGGTTCGAACCGATATTTTGTGCACATAAACCGAACCCGAACCGATTTTTTTTCGGGTCCCGATTATTGGGTCCCAATTTCGTTCGGTTCGGTCCGGTTCGGTTTTTTTCTAAAACGGTTCGATTATTTTCGGTTCGGTTTTCGGTTTTTCGGTTCAAAATGCCAGCCCTACATCTGTGTATTAGAACGTTTAAAATGCCTAGGTGGCAAAAGGATTACTGATATGGCAAAATAAAAGCCTCATCATCTAACTTGGTGTTAGCCTTGCGTAGCCTCCTCGGAACCACCAGCAAATCGTTGACTCCAACGGAGAAGGGAAACTCCTGCTTGTTATTGAGGACGTGAGTGATGGCGCCCGCCGTCAGGTTATTCATGGCCACGTCACCTCCCACGGCGGTCGTCCTCGTCCTGCCGTCCACCGACCTAAGCTCAAACATCGGCCATCAGGAAGTCGCACGTGTCCATTTCAAGCGCGTCGGCGCGTGAGAACAATAATGGAGCTCCGGTGATGAGGTCGTAGCAGGGGATGGGAACAGATTTCACGGTATCTTTCAGCGTTGACTCGCCGTAGACTTTCTTGAACAGCTTTGACAGCTTGAACACTCGTCAGAAAACCCCACTCTGCTCCGGCTTCGAAATCCTCTGCCCATTTTCCCATACAAATTTGAGAGCTTCTCTGGCAGTCAACAACGGGGACCCGTCTTTCCCGCGCATGAACAAGAAACTGGCGAGGACCCCTCTGGTCCGGAGGCATCAATGGAGAGGACCCGGACCTTGCCGATGCCGAGAAATGATGACATCACCGACGGAGCACTACTCCTCTGGTCGTTGCACCCGAAAAGAAACTTGTTTTCAAGAATGGGAAAGAACTGATTGGTGAGGTTGTCAGCCTCAAAGGTGGAGTCAAGCATGGAGATTGTGGAAACGGCCGCCATTGTAGTACTGATCGGAGAAGATGGAAGAGAGTATAGAGGTTTTGATGAGCTGGTTGAGCTGGAAGAGCCGATGAGGCAGGAGGCTAGGCAAGCTAATGGCGACATCAAGTTAGCCATATCAGATGTTTGCCACCTAGGCATTTTAAAAGTTCTAATACCCGGATAGACTCAATTAGCACTGATTTGGCAATTTCATGTACCTCTAAATCACACTTGCAAAATGATGTACTCTTTACTCCCCCGCTTACAATTTGGTGTACTAAATTGACACTTTCCTCATTTTCTTGTTCGAGATTTTGACGCACCTCCCTCTATTTTATTTCAAACTCCAAGTTAGGAAAATGTGCAAATAAGCTCTCGAACTAATCGAAAAAGTGCAAATCACCCCTTTTATAGGAGGCTCCATCCAGGCGTCGCCATTTGGGGTGATTCCCGGTGGAATTTTTTTATGATTGTTTTTTAGCATCTTCTTCATTAAGTATAGTTTAAGCATACCAAATTTCAGCTACAAATTCAATCGAGAAGACAGTCAAATAAATGTTTGAAAATAACTTCACAGTTAAACATCACAGTATATTTCAAAAAATCATTTGACTGCCTTCCCGGTTGAATTGTTAGCTGAAATTGGTATGGGTAAACTAGACTTAATAAAGAAAATAATGCTCAAAAAAATTGATCAAAAAATTCCACCGGAAATCGCCTAAACTAGAGACTGCCTTCCCGGGTGATTTGCCTTTTTTCTATTAGTTCAGGCTTATTTACACCTTTTTCCGGTTTAATTATTACGGAGTATTAAATAAGAAAACAAAGAACCCTTTTTTCGAACTGCAACCCTCCAAAGCTTCAAACTTTTAGGAAATTTTCCCAAGACTAGAGAAATGGATGAGGGTAGAGTAGAGATGGTGCTAGGCAGAATAATGGAATTGAGGTTCAAGATAACTAATTGCATCAGTTATGGTAGAAAGGAAGGGAGGTATTTGGGGAAAGGAAGCACAGGAATGGATTCAGAGGAGGTAGAGGCTGAAGAAGAAGAAGAAGAAAAAGAAGAAGATGAAGAAACATATTGCCTTTTGAGTATCCGAGAGGCTATTGAAAATCTTGAAGTCCAAGTTTCCTCATTGCAGGTACTTTATACTCCTTATCCGCTGCATTTCTGTATCTCTGAAACGGTAGTATAGTTTCTGTAAATGTGTTCTTATGGTGTGCTTAGGTGGAAGTAGACCTTAGGCTTTAGTTTGGTTCACCTCACATCGTTTGCGAATGCTTTGTTGACATTGAAATCTAAATTTTCTTAGAATTTTGAGAACCTCATCAACCTATTGAAGAGCCACCACATTGATGGTCTCAGAGGTTGAATCCTCCTTGTAAGTTATCAAAATGACATTCTATGCGTGGCGGAACTAGAGATTTAGTATTAGGGGGGCATAGATTAACTAATGCTTATTATGGGTGTCGGAGATCGACCAATTTTTATTAGGGGGACGGAGGGTCATACTTAAGTATAATTTATACTCCATAGTTTATAAGTATTTGTAGTTATATATATACATTAATACACATCCAGAATTTCTTTTTCCCTTGTATGTCCCTCAGCCCCTGACACTCCACTGGTGAACGTTAAATTAGTAGTTACTAGTTACCCAACTAGTACTTTGGTAAATGTGCTTGGGCTCACCTAGGTTAACAAAAGTGTTTCTGAACTTAGGTTCACCCAGGCTTCCCGTTTACATAAGTTCACTTGAACCAAACAGAGCCTTAGAAGTCTCAGAGATCCAGCACAAGTTCCCCAGAGTAACCTGATGTAAGTAGGATTTGTACAAATAGGTCATTTGTTTTTCTTTTTTATTCACTTATTTATAACTTTCATTCTTTTAGTTAGTCTATGGTTAGGCTAAAATGCCAGGTTCTTCAGACAGGCTTATTTTATTTCTGATTGTTCAAATCCTCAGGGGGTGGGGGGTGGGGGGGGGGGTAATAATTAGTAAGATAAGAAGAGTGTAAGATTTTAAGGCTTGTGTGGTTTGGGGAATTCAAAGGGAAGGTGAGAGGATGATTGACCCTTGTTTTACTTATTTACCTCTATTTGTAGTTTTTATAAAACCTAATTATATTATCAGTTAGTTCATGTATCTCTATATAGTTTCTTTATTTTCATTTTATTTTCAACCATCCCCGGGCCTTATTTGACTGCTGATTGATCAAATCCTCCTGGGGGTAATAATTAGTAAGATATCAAGAGTGTACGAGCTAAAGGCTTGTGTGTGGAATTCAAAGGGAAGGGGAGAGGGTGATTTAGTTTTGTTTTACTTATTTATATCTATTTGTATTTTTTATTACTTATACTTATATTATTAGTTAGTTCATGTACTCCTATATAGTTTCCATTTTGCATTATATTTTAAACCATCTGAATGTAGAAATAATTTTGAAAATAGATTAAACCCATTCTTACTCTCCGAAATCCCCAAATTAAACATGCCCAAGACTCGCTTATGTGTTGGTTTTGTTCATTACTTGATTTAAGTATATGCATAGTCAATGCTAAATGGTTTTGATTTATGAAGTAAAAACTTACGTAGTATTTGATATAGTTAGTGGTTTTACTGGTTTGGGGAATTGGGGTGGAAGGGGAGGATTGACTTGTATTTTATTATGTACTAGTAGTATAATTCATCTCTATTTTTTACTTTTCAAGTGAAAATAGTCAAAATACATATGATTAGTTAGATCATGTATTTCTATATGGTGTTTTCTTTTCACTTTTTTTTACCATCTAAATGTAGAAATAATTTAAAAAAAAAACATCACCCCTCTTTTTTCCTACCCTCTGAAATCCCTGAACCAACCAAGCCTTAAGACTGTCTTATGTGTTTCTATTAGTGATTACGTATTTGCGTAGTCCTCACTCAAATTTCTTAACTAAAAACATTTGTTTAATATAGTTACTTGGATACTCCCTTCTCTAGGCACTGTCATGGGCAGAAGTATGAAGGCCCTTTTTAACCACATGCATTTTAGCTATGGAAATGAAACTAAGATTTATTCTATTTGGCATTCCTGATATCATATGGTAAGTAAATGTGTTTCAACAACAGTAACAACATTACCCCAGTGCCACAAAGGCGCCAACCTACAGTTGGGACATTGGGTAAGGGGAGTCGGATGTAAGCAGCCTTACCCTTGTGCTAAACCACTGTTTCCGGATGATCCATTGATGAACAACGCATTGAAAATTGTATGGATTGACTGCTTCATAATAAAGAAGTGCGGACAATTTAGTGAGTCATTTTGCTTTATTTCATCATATTTCCAAGCCAAAAAATAGTGAGTCTTTGGCTCCATTCGAAATGATGGAAAATAAGTAGATGTGTTTATGAGCAAATAATGAAGCAGTAAAAATAATGACATGATACATTATGATGTTTAAATAGCACATTGATTGGGAATCAGAAGTTCATTAGTTTGAAGCCTTATGCAAATAGCCTAAAATAATTTCTGTTTGCTTTGCTTCGTGATGCTTCTATTTGCTTTGATGCCTTTGTGTTCATACATGGGTGCAACTGGTAACAAACAATTTGATTTAGGTAGTCATTAGTTTTGCCGAGGTTCTTATCAAAACAAGGTTTGCATAAAAAACACACACAAATGCTCTCATTCTTATAAAATGAGAACAATGCTTAACGTGAGAACGGTGCGAACGTCACTTTTAATTTAATGTGATGTACTTTGTTGTTTGAATGTTGCACTTTTTCACATTGGTGGTTTATTTACGAAACTGCATCCGCATTTTCCCATCATTTCTAATGGAGCTGAAGACTCAATATTTTTTGGCTGGGAATATAATGGAATAAAGAAAAATGGCTCACTAAAATGTTTGCTCTTCTTTGTTATGAAGCAGTGGTTAGTCCATGTAATTTTCGACGCGATTTTCATCATGTCATCCATAAACATTCTGTCTTTACTATAGTACAAGGGTTAGGCTACGTACAATCGACCCTCCCTTACCCCACTGTATGTGGGAGCCTATGCGGCACTGGGGTAATGTTTTTGTTTTTATATTTGCATGTTTTGACCAAAGTTTAAAAAATGCAATAAATGACCCTCATAGTGCATCGAATTTTGTTAAAAGTGCTACGTTCCCACGTTAAGCACCATTCTCGTTGGAACCACCCCCCATACACACACACATCTGTTGGGGTAGGGGTAAGATCTGCATCTCAACCATCTTAGATTTAACTTCCAAGTGGGATGTACCGGGTCTATTTTGGTTTAGTCTAGTCTTTGCCCAATCATTAATTCTTGTTATTAGAAACTTATAGTCTGTTTCAAAGTAAATATAGGTTCTTTTAAGTTTAAATTTTGGTTCGCCTTGTTATTAGATTTCAGGACAAGAGTCTAGATTTGAGAGAGCATAGGTTTACTTTTAAGAACCTCTGCAAACCTTCCGTAACTAGTTTTGGAACCTTCTTAGGGAGTTTTCAGACACTAAGTTTTCTTTCTAAATAATTTAAATATGTCCACCTATTTTAACCTCCATCCAAACAAACTTTTACTTCATCCACCTGGGTTAACTTAATATCTAACCAAGCAACGTCTTTATATATGCATATGGGCTTACCTAAGTCATTCAATGTTTACTTAATCTAGGTTTATTTCATTGTTTGTAATTGCGCAATGCAATTGCGCCTCATGGCGCGCCTCAGCTAATTCCTAGACTATGGCGTAAAAGGCATTGCATATGGCGTTGGGAGTGTGGCGTACGCAATATTGCACTGAGGCGTACGCAATATTGCATACGCAATAAGGCGCTCTGAGGCGTACGCAATAGGAGAACATCAGGGTGTAAGGGTATTATTTGGGTCCACTCGGCCCACTTTTAAAATTTTATAATTGATGTTATGATCCCTATTTCAAATCACTAGTTATTGATTGGATTTTTTCAGTCGATCAATCTTAAATTCTCATATCTTAGATTTTTTTATAAACGATTCAGAAAGTTTTGGTATTCTATGGTACTTTGAAGTTTGAACATATTACTTTGCTAGGACTGTGACCTCTTATGATTTGTTTTAATATAACATTTGACGACTTTTGACAAATATGTTTATTTTTTATTATGTTTATATTATATATATATATGTGTGTGTGTGTGTGTGTGTATATATATATATATACTACGCCTCAGGCATACGCCTCGTTGCGCAATGAGGCTTACGCAATATGCAATATTCAAAAAACGCCACGACTACGCAATACGCAATTTCAAACCTTGGTTTATTTAAGATCACTTATCACCTAGTTTACTTAAGTTATTTTTTCGAAACAGAGTGTTAGAGTTCATTTGGATAGATTAAGTAAACCTGAGGGCCCAAGTGCATATATAAAAATATTGTTTGGGTAATCTCGTAATTGTTAGGGCAACTAAGGTCAATGCAGTATAACTTTTTGTGGCTGGAGGTTAAGCAATGTGAAGTTGTGAACATGACGAAATTGCTTATTATGAGAACTTAACCTCCAAAAGTGGGTTAGAGAGTTCTTAGAGTTTTCCTAGGTGAACCTAGGTTCTTATCCATTACATATAAAACAAACGAGATGAATTTAAAATTAAACTGGGAAGAACCTAGGCTTTCCTGAAACAAACCGTTGCCTTAGGGTCTTTTTGGAGGGGAAGGCTTTGGCTTGACTAATCTGTATCTTGATAAATATTTCATACGATAGTATATAAAAATGAATGAAGTGTAATTGAGATGTCATACAATTACATCTTATGTCAACATTTAAAAAAATCTCAAATACTCCCTCCATCCCGCTAAGTTTGTCCTATCTTTTCTTTTTGGTCCGTCCTATTAAGGTTGTCTCACACCAAACTTGGTAATGTATGTGTGGTTCAAAGTCATTCTTACTTTATTTTCACTTTATGAATTCAATATCAATCACGTAAACTCACTTTTCTTGGTAACAACAATTCCTCCTCTCGTATGAATTTTAGGAGGACGGAGGTAGAATTAAACATGAATGAATCGTAAAATAGTTTACTTCATTTTGTGCATAGTATTAATTGTGCAAATACTCAAATAGCTTAACAATATTCATTATTTTAGAATACATTACCTGTAACCGGTTTTTCTTTTCCGATGGTTAACCGTATAAAAATTCTAAAATGTTAGTTGGAATGGTTAACCGGAAAAGGTCACCGGTTTCTCAGTTTCATTCTTTTTGTCGCCACTGCTTGGCTTTGCTGCTCTTAGAGGGTTTCTGTGAAACTCCCTTAATCTTGATTCACATTATTTTCCTGAGGAGAGTCTTTACTTGTGTATCAAATGCACTTGAACTGATTACTTTGCATTGGAATTTGGAAATGTATTATCTATTTCTCATTGTATTCAGGCAATACACCAGCAACATGTGTACGAAAAGGCAGAAGCCTTGGCTGGAATTGCCCATTCCCAGGACAAGTTGCTCAAGAAGCTGAAAGAGTACAAGGGGGACAATTTGGACATTATAGAAGAGGCCATTGCTTTTGTTGGTGACACGGCCGAAGAAAGCAACGATCTCCTACTCCCCCCATACCCAACCCGACCTTATTCTCCTTCCCCAGTCGTGGTTTCTCAAAACGGAGTGATAAGTGGAGCCCGAACGGAGCAATCGGCAAAGCATGCCTGCGGGTCCCGCCAAGAAGAGGCGAAAGGTGCATCAGGAAGGGTGACATGTTTTCTAGGTGCAGCTGCCAGGGTGGCATTGACTGTTGCTGGGGTTATATCTGCTTTAACATTGGCTGGGGTTGAGATCCGTCTAATGAAAAGACGTAACTGCCCTAAGATCACAAATCTGCAGCTGCAGCTGCTTGGGGTTGGCAAGAAAAGGGACAAAGCCGAGTGTCCTCCTGGAAAGGTGCTAGTTTTTGAAAACGGTGAAAGCCGATGCCTTGTGAGGGAGAGGGTAGAAATGCCATTTCACTCTGATGTTGCGACACCAGATGTGAGTTATGGTTGTGGGTGAAATGGGAACACCTTGTGTGACAATGTATTTCGATTTTACCTTGCTATGTAAAGTGCGGGTTCTGAATACGGTCATGCTACTTGTACACATAAGTTGTACACATCTCTTGTACACATTCTCTAGTTATCTGAGTACACAGAAGCTTCTAAACGAGCTGCATGTGTACACATGCAATTAGGGGGTGTATAAGAAATGTGTACGGCTTATGTGTACAAAGAGCTTTTTTCTTCTGAATAACTATTCGGGCCGTCTCAGTTAGCAAATTGAGCATTTATTATATTTATGTACTTTAAAGATTGATGTTGTTCAATGTAGTGGGGCCAAGTTCAATGTAAAAATAGACATAAAATTTGGTGAAATGAAATGAAATCTAGATGTTACCCTAAGTGGATGAGATAAAGATTATGGGTGTGAGATGAAGCACAACTCTGATATTGATATTTTTTAAAGTATTTTTGAAATATTTATTCAACACATTGAGAACATGTTTGAAAACACTTTAATTTGATTGAATCAATTGAATCTACTCTAATTGATGAAATGTTGATTGAATCGATTGAATTAGCTGAATTTGCTGAATTATGAAAAAACTTTATTTCAAATATATTTTATTGATAAAATAAAAAGGTTACATAAAAATTAATTAAAATGGTCATCTACAGATACTTTAATTAATTTAGTCATAAAAGTAACTCATACATTACTTATTTTGAGTATAAGTTACATACTTGATACAAAAGGTGGTTGATGAGGAGTTCTATTTTGTTCACCCCTTCATGGAGGGTGAACATCATCCCCTCCCTCTAATACATGTCACTTGGTATCACAATTATTCTTTTTCTTAAAATAAATATATTTTTTATAAATAATCTAATTTTTAAGAAAAAATATATTAGATTTAATAACTTTTTAAGATCTTTCCAATGGTGTCCATCACTACAAGAAAAAGGTCTTTTAACGACCACCATATAACGACGACTCTAAAAAATCGTCGTTAAAAGTTTGTATTAACAATGACTAATGAATTCGTCGTTACTAAATTTTATCTTTAACGACCATAATAAAAAGTTGTCCTTATTAATTAACACGCATTCATCGTTATTGCTAAATAATTATTTTCTTATATACTACTCCTACCTTACAACGTATTATTTTAAAATATCAGTTGAGAGAAAATCAATCATTTTGAATAAGATTGATTATACTTTTTTTAAACCCTAAATCAAACTTTCCGCATAAAAAAACCCATGAATAACACCCCGTACAACAATACGGGACGGTAATTGAAGTATTGAAGCCAAACCTGCGCCGCCTTCGTCTCTCTTACGCCAGACCTCGCAGCCATCGTCTCTCTGAAGCCAGACCTCGCCGCCATCGTCTCTTCGAATCCAGACCTCACCGCCATCGTCTCTCTGAAGCCAGACCTCGCCGCCATCGTCTCTGCGAAGCCAAACCTCGCCGCCTTCATCTCTCTGAAGCCAAGCCTCACCGCCTTCGTCTCTCTGAAGCCAAACCTCACCGCCTTCGCCTCTCTTACGCCATCGATCTTGATGAATTGATTCGTCTTAGAAATCCTGTGATTCAGTCTTCCTATACAGGTACGTTTCTCCACTCGCACTGGCCCAATCTTCTTAAAAGCGTTGAAAATCGCTATTGATCGACACATCGCAGGCATGCAGTGGAGTTGTGCCTGGGTTTTGAGAACCATCTCGATCTCTCCGGTCTCCTTGTGCGAGTTACTCTGTTTCTGCTGATATTTTGTTAGGAAAAATTAAGTACTGTTTTCCTGTTGATATTTTGACTGAAAAAATTAAGCTAAGTACTGTATTTTCTGAACCTATTTTTAACCTGCTATGAGCCTTTTGTGAAATTTGGATTGATATTTATGAATGGCAGTACAACAATTCAGACATTTAAAAAGCATTTGAAGTCTATTTGTCATTATCCAAACACTATTTTGGTTGAAGGTGTTGACTCTTGTAGTACTAAGAAGAAATCAGTGATTGACAAAAAGGGGAAGAAACAAGTGTAAGGAAATAGCAAGGCTGAAACCTGGTGAGAAACTTGAGGTAATTTTCTATAACAATCGATCATTCGGAATTAGTATTAAGGTTAGAAGTTTACATTACACTTGCATGTATTAGTTTTATATGTTGATAAAATGTAACTTATTTCACACATCTTAGTTTATCAATATTGTCTTGGATGATCATTTTATATGGATTGCCCTTCTTTTTTATCTGAACTTAGTAAAACATAGCCACATCTAGACATGCCTAAACTGGAGCCATAAGCACATCTTATATCCAAGAGAGATATTGGTAATTTTGAAACATAAAAAAAAATTGCTTTATTTTCTATTTGGTTTGTGACATTCAGACAGGTGTTTGGTGACTTCATTCCAAGTAGAGAGATTCCTGAAATCAAGTTCAATACCATTGCCCTTCTTTAGTAAGTCTAAAATTTTGTTAGGAAGTTTAGTATTTTTCATTGAAATTTAATACATTGTGATTATGATTATTTGGGTAGAGAAAATAATTGTCTACATGTCACAGTAAACTAGTTTATAAATCTGAAGAAGCTTGTTTTTTTATTTTTATTAGTTTGAGAGTGAAGCTTGTTTTTTTATTGAAGTTTAATACATTATGATTATCATATGTTGTACTTCTAATTAACTAATTGTAAAACTATTTTGAAGGAAACACATAATGCATATTATTTGAGCTTTGAAAACTTCATGCAACATTCTTTGAAGAGTTCTTCCACTGGTGTGTTATTTTTCACGTGAAGAGATTCTGAAGGGTAATACCTATAAGGTGTTTGTGTAAAGTCCTAGCAGGTAACTCTTCTCAATTTCTCAAACTTCTAACTTAACTGATTCAATATTGTACATAGCTTTATTACAATAAGATGAATATTCTTATGCATTGGGTAAAATTCTTGGGAAGTAAGAATTTGGAAAATACCTTACACAATGAAATCCAAGGTTACAAGATTAGACTCACCCTAGAAAGTAGTTTTTTTCATGTGGTGTTTCTGATCACGACTTACCCCCCCCCCCCCCCCCCCCCCAATTATTAGTAATGTTTACATAGTTTTGTTTTTGCAGAAACTAAGAAACATAAGACATGTTTCTAGTTTGTTTATTAATAATGGTATTGCTGCTATAACTTAAAAAGAATATACAATCAAACAAAAATGGGAGATTGAGTCAAGCCAATAACTAATTAGAACAAGTAGCAGAAAACCTTCTGTTGTTACTTTCACTCTTGAATTTGCAAGGGGGAGGAGTACATATATCTATGATCTCAACTTCACAGGTATGATTATCTGCAGCCAAACACAGATGCTGATTCTCACTTACTATTTCCTCTGGCAACTTATTGGTTTCAACAAAACTAGGTTCATCTTCTTTATTGTTGCTGAATACGAAGTATATTGTTAGATTTTGAAAAGAAATGGAGATGATAATGCCCCATGAAAGTCAGTGAAACTTGAAGACCTGTTATTTTCTTGCTCCCATTTGTGTTTTTCAATAATTAACTGTTCCATCAAATCAAGTTTTGAGGCAGTGGATTCTTGGGTGCCTCGAATTCCATCACATTCATCAGTGAGGAAGCGGATTCTTGGGTGCCACGAATTCCATCACATTCATCATCATCATGACCATCACATGAATAACCAAGGCAGATCATCCATAGAACAAACTCGGACCTTCAATGTTTTTTATTAAATATGCGTGATGTTATATACATTTTACTAATGATAAAAGTTTATGGTTTTAGGTGCAATGTTCGAGTTTATGTTAGAGGAAGATATTAAGAGAGCTCCTCAAATGATGTTATAGCTGTTATTGGAGATAATCTATATATGATATACTCCCTATGAGATAACTTCAAGCTGAGGCATCATGAAGAATTGTCCAAAAGCATTGACAAGAGGAAAAGCGTTGAGATGATGTTCCGAGCAAAGGAAAGCTAACCTGGAAGATCTATTAATTTTATCATTAGTTTAGAATTAACTAAGAGTTAAATGATTAAGTGTAAGTTAGATTTCGGGTTTCTATCATGTAAGACAATTTGATATTATACGTGCAACATATTGTAAATTTGTAATATAATATATTATTCAAATTATTTATTGGAATATATTTTACATAATATGGCAAGTGAAAACAAATTTTGTCCCAATATGTTTTAGCTATTGACTTATTTTACCGGTCACAAAATATCTTTTGTGGTCGCAAATAGTCTTTAGCGGCCATCTTTCAAGAATTTACGACCAACTTTCCATTCGCTAATGGCCTTTTTTGTAATGTATGTGGTCGTTATTATGTAATGACGAGTGAGTTTTTGGTCGTTAATAAGTAACGACGAGATCCCGTGTCGTCGTTAATTGTTAACGATGAACTTTGTCGTTAAAACCAATAACGACGGAGGCTATAACGACCACTTGACGACGAAAGAAAAGTGGTCGTTAAAAGCTTTAACGACCAACTTTTGAGCCTATAACGACAATATTTTTCATTGTTAAAAGCTCTTTTTCTAGTAGTGCATATTGCACATGTAAAAAATTGATTTTTTTCCTTACATCTATTTTAAGTCGATTTTTTTTTAATTTTACATATACAATATTGATATCATACGAAATATTATAAAAAATTAAAAATATTGATATATTTTTTTGAAAAAATTGAACCAAAATACAAAAGTTATAACAATTGCAAAATTTAAAAGCATTGTCATGCCATATGCCATATGTGGGGGTGATGTTCACCCTCTTTTGAGGGGGTGAACAAAATTGTTCTCGTTGATGAGGATATAACAAGTTGAAAATAGCAGTTATTAAAGATAGTAAGTTTTTAAGAAATGTATGTTAGTTAATGCATTATGTACAATATAAAGAGAAAAATAATACAAAATGTCAAAAAGAAGCTAAAGCACTAAAACAGAATTAACAGACCCCGCTGGCTGTACAGAACGGTTTGCTTTACTTATCCTATTTGTTTTTGTCTCTATAAAAATGAAGTTAAATTACCAAACATTACTTGTTTTCCTCGACCATAGTGTCTGTACACTCCATATTGGAAGCAAAATTGTTAGGCATAAGAGGAACTGGACACGTATGAGTATTGGTACTTGGTTGATAAATTGATATGGTTGTGCGTTTGGTGTATGCATAAACACATCCTTAGGCACGGTAACGATAAATTATCATGATTTAATATAATAAATTATAATATGCGAAATGAAATATAGAAAAATCTATGTTAAGTGATATACTCAAATCATTAATGAAATTGTTTATAAAATACTAATGATAACCTATTGATGTTCTATTCAATTTTGAACAAAAATTATTATAAATATGTTTAGATATTTCAACATAATAACACATTCTCCAAAAATAATTTAAGCAAC